ATTGAAAATAGTGTTAGTTTTTAACGGAAGTATATTGAAAATAGTGTTAGTTTTTAACGGAAGTATATTGAAAATAGTGTTAGTTTTCAACAGAATATATACAGATACTTGGATTCTGATATGAGCGATATTAAGAAACGTGTATTGAAAATAGTGTTGGTTTTTAACGAATATATTCAGACTCTGATCAGAACGACTTCACCCTTAGTGTATTGTAAATGGGGTGTAATTTTTTCTCCAGTTTTTAAATCCATACAGTTTCAAGAGGTAACCATCTTTTTCTAAAAGATTAACCCACATTTTAGGAGTGTTTTTTCTTCTCTCTTTTTTTTTAACGAGATAAATAAAACGGAGAATTCATGACGTTCTGCTACTCGTGCCGAAAGTTTTTAAAGCAAGGAATATATTTACACAAACAATTGAATGTATTTTTCATTAGATTACGTCATCCTTTTTTTATTTCCGTCTCCACGTGAGATCCGATATCTGATTTAACTGTTCTGTTAATTTACTTTGAGGTATACAGCTCCTACTTTAACAGCGTTGTGTTTGTATTAATAGCAGAATTGCGTGCACTTCGTTCTGAACGGAAAGTATTCTCCCCCCCCCCCCCATAGATATAAATAGTGAACTGTGTCTCTGCCTACGTAGATATTGAACTTAAAGAAGCCATATATAAACGGGGCGGAACTAATAATAATTAAACAAATAACTACAACTTTGTTTAAGTAAATTATCGAGGGCAAACTATTTCTGTATCGATTATTATTTATTATTAATTACACTATTAATACTATTCACGTATTTGCTTTAACAGATATCCATATATCATGAACCAACAAAGGTTGTATATGTCTTAAAGATATGCAAAAGTAACCATATATATATATATATATGACATAATACAATAAGGCGTATGTAAGTCGATTATATATGTGTGCGTGTGTGTGTATACTTTATTATAAACCGAGAAAGGGCGCATGCGTATGTTTTGCAAGTCACAATCATTATTACAACGAAACGAGAAACAAGCGTCAGTTATCACCACTCGTCTGTCCTCAATTTTTTATTTCTACTGTTTCAAACTTGATCTATGATACGCCTACAGACGGTTTCAGAGCCTCACCACGTCGTTACAAGTCATACTCTGTCTGACAGCCTTGTAATATTGACAATAGTCCTGCAGCGTAGTTTTTAATGCAAAAGAGCTCTGGCAAAAGTCTATCATGTCAAAAGCACAACAATTCTCCCTGCATGCTTTCCATAATCAATCAAGCGTACTACGACGACAGTTTCCCAGCGACCATTCAACCATCCGATCGAACAGAAATCTACAGACCGACATATCTTTTTTATGAAATAGCACGAATTCCGTGCCGCTTGAGGTAAGTGACGGTTGAACTGAGACTTTGTGGAAGCAGCTTGTGTACATAAGACTTGAGTCGCTTTATCAGAAGGGGATTCTTCTTGGTTGTCACTTGTTAGAAGACACCACGCTACAGTTGGGGTATGGATTGTTGCAGGTCTGGGTGGACCTGGTGTCACAGATTGGTCCATATTCCCCATTAATCTGAATATATCTTTATGATCTGGGTGTTTGAATATTTTGGTGTCGGGATGTTACGTGCCCTTCTCAAAAGAGATCATTTTTCAGTGTCATTACATTACCTGCAATACGCCACAGAATGCCAAGATACAGTACTGATACGTTTCGTTTCACCGCTACGCCTGCAATACGCCACAGAATGCCAAGATACAGTACTGATACGTTTCGTTTCACCGCTACGCCTGCAATACGCCACAGAATGCCAAGATACATTTCGTTTCACCGCTACGTTTTATCGGCTGTGGTTGTCACGTCACGTTTTAATATAACATATCCACCCTCTCTATAAATGCTGTTCGGCTTCGATCCAAACTAAACATTTCGGGTTACAAATGGAGGCGGGAAGTTCGTCTCCAACTACTGAAATGCTGCAGCAGAGCCATTAACTTTTACTACCGAAAGGAAACTGGAATAGAACTCCGGGAGGCTGGCGTTCTTGTTCGTGCAAGCGTCAAATGAAGCGATTTAGAAAAGCTGTGGCTGGTAATGAAGACTTGTAATCAAGACGGGGAAGAAGAATGCTACATCACAAAGACGAGTAATGTTGACCACTTTCTATGATGTAATCAAGACGAGGAAGAAGAATGCTACATCACAAAGACGCGTAATGTTGACCACTTCCTATGATGTAATCAAGACGGAGAAGAAGAATGCTACATCACAAAGACGCGTAATTTTGACCACTTTCTATGATGTAATCAAGACGGGGAAGAAGAATGCTACATCACAAAGACGTATAATTTTGACCACTTTCTATGATGTAATCAAGACGGAGAAGAAGAATGCTACATCACAAAGACGCGTAATGTTGACCACTTTCTATGATGTAATCAAAACGGAGAAGAAGAATGCTACATCACAAAGACGCGTAATTTTGACCACTTTCTATGATGTAATCAAGACGGGGAAGAAGAATGCTACATCACAAAGACGCGTAATTTTGACCACTTTCTATGATGTAATCAAGACGGGGAAGAAGAATGCTACATCACAAAGACGCGTAATGTTGACCACTTTCTATGATGTAATCAAGACGAGGAAGAAGAATGCTACATCACAAAAACGTATAATGTTGACCACTTTCTCTGATGTAATCAAGATGGGGAAGAAGAATGCTACATCACAAAGATGTATAATTTTGACCACTTTCTTTGGCTCTGAATTCTTACGAAAATGTATTCCCATCAAACTTTACTACAAAGAAAAATATACGAATTACAGATTGCTTATAGTTTTTGTGTTTGTTTTTTAGCATCGTAGTTTGAGAGCGTCTGTCGTCCATCAAGCATTAACACAGTTTATAATGCACAATTGTAGCTTAGTCGAAATTTAAGCGAGGAGAAGATAATCACGAAAATAATGATGTTTACACAAACAAACTGACCCAGCCTCATCCATTAAACTAGCGGTTAGTTCCCGGAGAACATTATAAAGGGTTTTTTTTGTTTGTTTTTTTTTTTTCAGTTTGCTTTGGACTAATTCTTGCTCTATAGCCTTTTTAAACTTTGTTATTTATTTTCAGACTCTTTTTCTTTTACACTGTAATTGTTTTTAACCCTTTGACTCCGGCTGCTTTAAACGCGCGAGGAATGTTTTTGCGAGTCGTGCTCCGTATAGAGCACACTCGCATTCAACTGCCGAAGGCGGACCGTACCCTATACGGTGAATCAGCAGTCAGTGGGTTAATGGATAACGCTAAAAACCGGGTTTTGATACCCGTGGTGAGCAGACAACAGATAACCCGTTGTATAGCTTTGCGCTTAACAACGATAGAAACAGAAATAAATTTGAAAGGTTATTTGAACCGTTTTAAAGTTTGTTATTTGTGTTCAGTCTATTTATTATATTTTAAAATAACTTTAGTTTTTTGTTAGAGTGTAACCGTTTCAAAGTTTCCTCTTTGCAGACTATTTATTACAGTGTAACACTTTTAAAGTTTATGTTTTTAAGGCTTCTTGTTGCACTGTAACCATTTTAAAACTTTTTTGAGTGTTTTCATGCAATATTTGTGACACAATAACATTTTAAAGTTTTTTAGTATTTTCAGACAATATTTGTGACACAGTAACTGTTTTAAAGATTTGTGTGTGTGTTTTCAAACAATATTTGTGACACAGTAACTGTTTTAAAGTTTTTTGAGTGTTTTTAGACAATATTTGTGACACAGTAACTGTTTTAAAGCTTTTTTGAGTATTTTCAGCCAATTTTTGTGACACAGTAACTGTTTTAAAGATTTCTTTAAAACAGTTACTGTGTCACAAAAATTGGCTGAAAACACTCAAAAAAGCTTTAAAACAGTTACTGTGTCACAAATATTGTCTAAAACACTCAAAAAAGCTTTAAAACAGTTACTGTGTCACAAATATTGTCTGAAAACACATACATATTTTTGTATGTGTTTTCAGACAATATTTGTGACACAGTAACTGTTTTAAAGTTTTTTGTGTTTCCAGACAATATTTGTGACACAGTAACTGTTTTAAAGCTTTTTTAGTGTGTGTTTTCAGACAATATTCGTGACACAGTAACTCAGAGTTTAAAGCGTCTAACGATCAAATATTTCACGACGAATCTCATTTTGACAAATACACATTTATTAGATTCAATGCTCGTGAAGAAAGAACGTTTTGCCAGGAATCATTCTGATGAATATGTATCAGACTGACCTTACTCTATATGACTAATGGTTCTCAAATTATTTCTTCGGTTCGGTAATATGACAGGATTATCATTTGGAAAGAAACTTTCACAAGTTTGATTAGTTTCTCAACTTATTTATCGCATTGTTTAGGTTGAATGCTACTAAGAAATCTTAAATTTAGTTGTTTAAGTTGAAGGTTACTATGGTAACTTGCATTCAAATGTTTAGGATGAAGGTTAGTTACTATGGCGACTTGCATTTGGGTGCTTAGAATGAAGTTTAGTTACTATGGCGACTTGCATTCGGTTGTTTAGGATGAAGGTTAGTTACTATGGCGACTTGCATTCGGTTGTTTAGGATGAAGGTTAGTTACTATGGCGACTTGCATTCGGTTGTTTAGGATGAAGGTTAGTTACTATGGCGACTTGAATTCGGGTGTTTAGGATGAAGTTTAGTTACTATGGCGACTTGCATTCAATTGTTTAGGATGAAGGTTAGTTACTATGGCAACTTGCATTCGGTTGTTTAGGATGAAGGTTAGTTACTATGGCATCTTAACTGTAATTCCACTGAAATATGCATCAGTTAATTTTTCATCCATACGTACCATGTGTCTGGATTAGTTAAAGTAACCATTGCTAGGGTAATTTAAATTACATTACGTGTTAATATTCCTTTGGGCGACATTTTGAGCTTCTTACATTAAGCCTGAATGTTGTCAAAGAATCCAGACTGAAAGAGAATATTATAATAAACATGCCCTGACGTTGAGAGAAGAAATATAATTTGTATTTCTAAACTTCATGATTTTGAGTTATTTTTAAACTACATGGTTTGAGTTATTTTTAAACTACATGGTTTTGAGTTATTTTAAACTACATGATTTTGAGTTATTTTTAAACTACATGGTTTTGAGTTATTTTTAAACTCCGTGGTTTTGTGTTATTTTTAAACTACATGGTTTTGAGTTATTTTTAAACTACATGGTTTTCAGTTATTTTTAAACTTCATGGTTTTGAGTTATTTTTAAACAGGAAACATTATAAAAACTTTTAATGGCCAGAAATAATCAACTGTTTTTGTGGTACGCATTTTACATGAATATTAATTTCTGCTTAGTTTTATGTGTACATTTTGTATATTTATGTTTTTGGTACCTACTATGTTAGTTAATTATAAGCTTATAGTGTGTTTTTGGTACCTACCATGTTAGTTAATTATAAGCTTATTGTGTGTTTTTGGTACCTACTATGTTAGTTAATTATAAGCTTATTGTGTGTTTTTGGTACCTACCATGTTAGTTAATTATAAGCTTAATGTGTGTTTTTGGTACCTACCATGTTAGTTAATTATAAGCTTATTGTGTGTTTTTGGCACCTACTATGTTAGTTAATTATAAGCCTATTGTGTGTTTTGATACCTACCATGTTAGTTAATTATAAGCCTATTGTGTGTTTTTGGTACCTACTATGTTAGTTAATAATAAGCCTATTGTGTGTTTTGGTACCTACCATGTTAGTTAATTATAAGCTTATTGTGTGTTTTTCATACCTACTATGTTAGTTAATTATAAGCTTATTGTGTGTTTTTCATACCTACTATGTTAGTTAATTATAAGCCTATTGTGTGTTTTTCATACCTACCATGTTAGTTAATTATAAGCCTATTGTGTGTTTTTGGTACCTACTATGTTAGTTAATTATAAGCCTATTGTGTGTTTTTATACCTACCATGTTAGTTAATTATAAGCCTATTGTGTGTTTTTGGCTACCTACTATGTTAGTTAATTATAAGCCTATTGTGTGTTTTTGGTACCTACCATGTTAGTTAATTATAAGCCTATTGTGTGTTTTTGAAGCGCAGCAGAAAATTTAATGGTTATCACTTTCAGACCTTGAGAATAATTTAAGATTATTAAATTATAATTTTAAACTTTATTTAGGAAAGTTTTGGCATTCGTATAAATTAATAACCAACCCCTAAATCGTTATCTAAAAGTTTTGTGTAATGTAAGCATCAATTTATATATATATATATATATTTGTTGTTTTTTTCAGATGTATCATCATTTCCTGACTACAGTGCTCCCAGGATTAATTTGGAACCTTCCCCAAAGGTGGCGTTCCTCAACTCTACGGGGACGTCTCTTCATTGCTCTGCTTCGGGGAACCCTTCTCCAGATATTTATTGGGTTTTAACGGATGGTTCAAGGGTCACAGACCTTCCCGGTCTTCGCGTTTCCTTGCCTAATGGTACTCTATTGTTTCTACCGTTTCAGTCAGACATCTACCGTCAGGATGTTCATTCTACCCTTTACCGCTGTGTGGCGTCTAACCCTTTGGGGAAAGTGGGCAGTAGGAGTATCCGAGTTAGGGCAGGTAAGCCTACTTTCGAAATGAAATGATCCAGTTTTAAGTACATAGCTTGTATTTTCTAAATCTTGAAAGAACGTTTACAAAAATACTACTACAGCTGGTTAAGTTTAAACATTCAAGAAAAGAAAGCTGATAATAATGTGAACTGTTAGGACTTTCTACACTATTTATTAAGAAAGCTGATAATAATGTGAACTGTTAGGACTTTCTACACTATTTATTTTCTCCTAGTTACATAATATTTCGACATTTTACCCAGATAATCCATACTGATATACAGAGGTTTGAGTAGGTTATATTCAAACGATTTGAAATTTACAAATCAACAAAAAATTTAAAGTCGCGGTGGAACGGAATGTATCAGAACTACATTTCAACACTATTTGGCATTTCGTAGGTAGTGTGAAGCCACAGAAAACTCATCGCTTTTGGGAGGGATATGTAACAAAATATTCATACTCTCGGATCATAAAGATATGTTCATATATGGGATATCCAAGATATGGGGATATCTCTTGCACTGAATTGACGTGGGTGGTGTTCACTAGCTGCCTTCTGTCTAGTCTATCACTTTTAAATCAGAGACTGTAAGCACAGATAGCCCTCGAGTAGCTTTGTGCCAAATTCAAAAATCAATGAAACTGTAACTAATTTTAAATTCAACAATCAACCAAACAGTAACTAATTTTAAATTCAACAATCAACCAAACTGTAAGTAATTTTAAATTCAACAATCAACCAAACTGTAAGTAATTTTAAATTCAACAATCGATGAAACTGTAACTCAATTTGAAATAAGCTGCATCAGATAGGTACCACCTTTTGTATAAGTAAATACGTATAAGTAAAGAAACGTTTTTAGGTAGACATTTATATACTAAACCATCTCACTTATCAACTGCGATAAACATTAACTTGTAACCAACGAAACGTTGACACCTAATTCCTAAACAATCTCACTTATCAACTGCGATAAACATTAACTTGTAACCAACGAAACGTTGACACCTAATTTCTAAACAATCTCACTTATCAACTGTGATAAATATTTACTTGTAACAAACGAAACGTTGACACCTAATTACTAAACTATCTTACTTACCAGCTGCGATAAACATTAACTTGTAACCAACGAAACGTTGACACCTAATTTCTAAACAATCTCACTTATCAACTGTGATAA